AACAGGTGTCAGTAGCGACGCCTCTCTAGCAGCAGCAGGAGCCCACCTGGACTATGATATATATATATGGCTTTTCCTCCACCTTCCACCATCCAACACTACCTGTTGCAAACATGTCGCTTTTCGCTCGCATGTGCGCTACGGCCAAAAATTGCCGTAATTGAGAGTGGAAGCGGATAACCAAAGTGAACTACTATCCCGTTTTCTGTTTTGGGTCCTCTGACTTAGTCTGTTAGGTTAGGAGAGGAAACTTTAAATTAGCAATTTTCATGATGTTTTGAAACCTTAAGAGAACTGCCTACTCTCCAAACCTATACTAGAGGACCCAGAACTTACTGTTTTATGTCAATAAAACAAGTTTCAATAAAACTTGCTGTTTTGGGTCCATTTCATTTGCGAAATTAATTTCCATTTTGGATTACAGCAATTTTTGGCCGTAGCGCATCCGTGCGAAAAGCGACGTTAAATGTAAGAGTACAGGTTGGTCCATCACCCAGCTGTGTAGATCCCTCCATCTTGTCTGCGTGAGGCGTAGCACACACACACACACACACACACACACACACACACACACACACACACACACAGGCTGACTCCATACACAGTTTCAAGTGTAGATATGATAGAGCCCAGTATGCTCAGGAACCTGTACACCTGTTGATTGATGGTTGAGAGGCGGGACCAAAGAGCCAGAGCTCAACCCCCGCAAGCACAACTAGGTGAGTACACACACACACACATGCGCACACACTGTCAATGTGTGTGTGTGTGTTGGGGGTGGTGGAGGTCCATCTTGCCTCACCCAGGCAAAATGGACGGATCTCTATAACCGAGTGATGGAATTCATGTCACTAGCAGGGCGCCCCACAGACGCCGTCTGCGTGTGACTATGGGCTGATCCAGCTCTTCCTTTCTCTTGTTAAAGCCGACAGCGACGCTAAAGGCACCGATAGTGGTCAACCCGCTCGAGTATTTCACCATTTAATTGCAGGTCACCATTTTCTCCCGGCTTGCCATGAGAGTATAGATGCTTTTGTCATGTTAGTGGAGAGTGAAACCGAGGTCAGCACATTTCCTTCCTAGGAGAAATCTTCAATTTGGATTGATGAACCTAGGAGTTGAATGGCCTGTTTAATGTGTCCAACGTCGGGGACTTGTGTCCGGACGCCACCTGCTTGTCCCACTTGTTGTGTTCCTTCAGGAAATTGAATATTAGTAATTGAGAATAGGTAGCAACATATTGTTGCGAGTACTTCATCGTGTTGACCAAACTACACACTAGAAGGTGAAGGGATGACGACGTTTCGGTCCGTCCTGGACCATTCTCAAGTCGACCAGACCACACACTAGAAGGTGAAGGGATGACGACGTTTCGGTCCGTCCTAGACCAGTCTCAAGTCGACCAGACCACACACTTGAAGGTGAAGGGATGACGACGTTTCGGTCCGTCCTGGACCAGTCTCAAGTCGACCAGACCACACACTAAAAGGTGAAGGGATGACGACGTTTCGGTCCGTCCTGGACCATTCTCAAGTCGACCAGACCACACACTAAAAGGTGAAGGGATGACGACGTTTCGGTCCGTCCTGGACCAGTCTCAAGTCGACCAGACCACACACTAGAAGGTGAAGGGACGACGACCTTTCGGTCCGTCCAGGACCATTCTCAAGTCGACCAGACCACACACTAGAAGGTGAAGGGACGACGACCTTTCGGTCCGTCCTGGACCATTCTCAAGTCGATTGTACGTAAACTTGCTATTAATAGTATTAAAACACATAATCCGTCTAAAAAAATATGCCGGTTCAATTCCTTCCTAATAAACATCTAGAAAATGCAGTTTAACCTTGACGGTCGACAATTAACCAGCCACAACAAGTCTATAAACCCAAGGAACACAATTTATGACTGACTTAGTGAGAGAGATACATAGTGTGACCCCCAGACCCGGGGACATGGAGACAGGGTGTGTGTGTGACACACTTGGCCCTAAATCCCTCCAGTCTGGACCACAAGTTGACACTCGTGTCTCGTAAATATTGTCACCTGTCACCCAGTAAGCACAGTGCCCGCAGCTACTGTTACTGGAATTGGTGATGAAGTGATAATGATCCAGGATTTGAGGAGGGTCTAGGACTTAATGAGGAGGTCCAGGACTTAACAAGGGGTCCAGGACTTAATGAGGGGTCCAGGACTTAACAAGGGGTCCAGGACTTAATGAGGGGTCCAGGACTTAACAAGGGGTCCAGGACTTAACAAGGGGTCCAGGACTTAACAAGGGGTCCAGAACTTAACGAGGGGTCCAGGACTTAACAAGGGGTCCAGGACTTAACAAGGGGTCCAGGACTTAACAAGGGGTCCAGGACTTTGTAAGGAGGTCCAAGATGAACCCAAACCATCGTCACTTCCCTTTTCTTTACACGTGTGAGTTGGACATTTATATATTTTTCCCCCAACTCAAAAATTCAAAAAATTACAGTACCAAAAAACTAGGCTAGACCAAATAAAGTTCACAAAAGCCTCAACGCAGCACTTCGCAGGAGACTTTTTTGTTGCCTATCCACATATCCTCGTGTTTTCAGACCAGCAGCGCTGGGCACAGCCTAGCAGGAAGGACGCCGGATAAAGGGAAGACCAATATTCTGGTCTATTAATCCTTGCGCGGGGATAATTAGGCTGCTTATCCAGACGCCACCAGGAACGAGGCGTCGGCCGTGAAGTTTCCAGGTTTTCACTCACTTCATTCGTTGAACTTGCATGCTTCTTTCACTGTACCTGAAGCTTTATTTAGGAATATTTGAAGGTTTATGAATATATGAAGCTATTAAAAGTTTTTTTTTATTTATACACGGTACTTGAAGCCTTATTCCATAGCACCTGAAGCTCCACTCACGGCGCTTGAAGCTTCATTTACGATAATTGAAGCTTTATTTACGGTATATAGAGCTTGTTTACGATACTTGAAACTTAATTCATAGTAACAAAAGCTTCATTCTGCGACTAAAGCTTCATATAACTGGGCTAATTCTTCCCGGACACACGCAGAAAGTCAGCCAAATACAAAATTGGATTGTCAGAAGACGCCGGTAGAGGATTGGAAGTGGGGACTGATTGGGGAGGGTGTAGGATACGAGATGGGTGTGGGTGTAGATTAGGGGATAGGTAGGTTAGGGGATGGGTAGGAGTGTAGTGGGAAGTATCGTCAAGCAACAGCCACACTACACCAGCCTCTGAGAGCCACACCACACCAGTCCCTAAGAGCCACACCACACCAGCCTCTGAGAGCCACACCACACCAGTCCCTAAGAGCCACACCATACCAGTCCCTAAGAGCCACACCACACCAGTCCCTAAGAGCCACACCACACCAGCCCCTAAGAGCCACACCACACCAGCCCCTAAGAGCCACACCACACCAGCCCCTAAGAGCCACACCACACCAGCCCCTAAGAGCCACACCACACCAGCCCCTAAGAGCCACACCACATCAGCCCCTAAGAGCCACACCACACCAGCCCCTAAGAGCCACACCACACCAGCAACTGATGATGGTGGAGGCTATATTCAACAAACAAAACTCTCCAAGAACAACACACACACCGCCTTTAATAAAGTCCTTCAGGCTCCGTAAGAGATTGTGACACAGCCGTCACGTTGAGCGGTAAGTAAAGCACTTAACACGTCATGCTTGGCGCCAGACGCCGAGGGCTCGTTATGGAGATCACGGAACATATCGACATCTCAACAGAGCGGGTTATTGATCAGGGTTCGTCTCCCGGGGGGGTGGCCCTCCGAGGACCTGATTGTGCTGACGCGGGGCCCCTTTCTCCAGGCTTAGGGACACTTCCAAATAATCCCGGATTGGAAAAGTTCCTGGAGGAGTGGCTATGCATTATGCACCACCAGCTTTAACTAATACCAAAATTCTGGGAACTGCTTCAGGAGCATTGTTGAGTGTAGGAGGAGAGAGAGAGAGAGAGGAGGGTGTTGGTATGCTGAGGCGGACCGCTGGCTGATGGAGGTGTGAGTTCCGCGCCATCGTTCACTTAATACTTAAGTCTGTTATGGCGGCCGGAGTCCGGCCAGGCCGCCATACGACCGCGTTGGCGGGAAAGTTGAAAATTTGTTGGCGATTGTAAATGGTGACGAAAATTTTTTATAAATGAACGAGTTGATTTTTGTTGTATATTAAACAATACACAGTTGTTTATTAAATGTTAAATCTGCTGCTTGATGAGTTAGTGCCTCTAGTTAACCGTAAATGAGTTGATGAAACTGAAGCAACTTGATACGTGTATTATAATGAATGAGATTCATATCTGGGCGTTATTCTCACCCGTTGTGAACTGTTATTGTTCTGTTTGAACTGTTCTCACTGTTATTGGTCTGGGTGGCTGGCGAGGCCCCCCGCTGCCCGCGGCACTTAATACAACCTTCACAACGTGAGAAGACAACACCTAAGGCGGCAGCTAAGTGGTTGGGACACATACTGGTGGACACTCTCAGCCTACCACGTGAGATACACTATGATACACGGACACATGATGCTGGGAAGACGCTGCTAATGTTCTCTCTCCTCCCCATTAGCGTGGACACATTAGGCGCAGATAACAACTAATTAACTAAAAATCATTACTATCTGTGGTGTCTTGCTGCTAAACCTAACCAGGAATTGTATATTGTTGCTTTTATTGAGCAATAGCTGGAACAAGTTACACAGATAAATAACCAACACATAAGTGTTCAATTGAACACTCTCTCTTCCTTGTTACAATAACATTCTCTTCCTCAAATCTCAATTGTTTTTGGTTTAAGTGTATATCATTTCTTGTGGGGGTTCAGTCCCTGAGCCCATTATGTGCCTGTGTAACCCTTTCCACTACCGCCCACAAGATGGGTATGGGGTGCATAATAAATGACCTAAACTATGTAGTGTGTGTGGGGGGGGGGTAGAGGTGACGCCTGGATGACGTTACCAAAACACCAATTCAACCATTCAGATCGCCCTGGACGGAAGGCAGGTCGCTCCTTACATGACGACTCCTGAGACGGAAGAACAGTTTAGACAGTGTGGAGGAGGCGAGGGGGGAGTGTCAGGATGGACCTGGATCAGAGGTGACGCTGAGGATGTTGTCCCACCTCGTGTGTGACCTGGGATACAGAGAGTGCAAGTCTGGTGCCAGGGAGAGTTAATTTAACAGCTGGGCGCAGAGTGGCCCTCCTCTACTTCAGTGATAATAATCGTTGTTTGTTGTTATAGATTCAGCTACTCGGAACAGGTTCCAAGTAGCACGGGCTATGGTGAGCCCGTAGTGGACTTACCTAGCACGGGAGTGGTGCCGTCTCTGGATAATAATCGTATTATTGGGATTATCACAAATTTTATGTTAGAAGTACGACAACTGCAGAGAGAGTGAGGCAAGTTAACACTAATTCAGTCTTCTGAAATATACACATGATCCCTACCTGTCCTCAGGCCAGGCTAAGGCCACTGGGCGCCCCCCTCCCCCCCCCCAAGTCGCATTCATCAATTTGTACGTATTGTGCATTATAAACGTTTGTTCTCGTATATAAATTAATATTATTATATATTATAGTTCTAGGTATAGCTAAGCGTAAGTGTTTAGGTTCTGTTGGCGATTATTTGTATTTGTCAGACCAAGTCCATTCCATCCAGTGGTCGACCCCAAAGACGCATTCATTAATTTTAACATGATGTTCATTAAAAACAAGATTTCTTTCATTTATAAATTAATATTATTTTATACTACCATATTGTACATATTTAGGCATAGGTTAGGTTAGGTGTTTAGGTTCTGTTGGCGATTATTTGTATTTGTAGTCCGTGGGTGAAGCATTTACAGCGTTGTGGTTCGAACACAAGTCGTCAGTGAAGCACTTGTTCCGGAAGTGTTCGGACGTCAGCAGTTGTGAGTCGCGTGTAAACCGTTTTTCATTCATAAACACCTGAGGGGTTTGGCGGGTGGATGGAATGGTCTTTGTTTATGAGGACGGGCTGGTTCAGAGAGAAGCGACACGAGCAGAAGACGTGAACGAAACACTGCTCGAGAAAAGTACACACTGCATACAGCCCGTCCTCCAAACAAGGACCCAAAGACCATTCCATCCACCCGCCAAACCCCTCAGGTGTTTATGAATGAAAAACGGTTTACACACGACTCACAACTGCTGACGTCCGAACACTTCCGGAACAAGTGCTTCACTGACGACTGGTGTTCGAACCACAACGCTGTAAATGCTTCACCCACGGACTACAAATACAAATAATCGCCAACAGAACCTTAACGCCTAGCCTAACCTATGCCTATATATGCACAATATGCTAATATATTATAATATTAATTTATTCTTGAGAAAATTCCCGTTTTGAGTGAACAGCATGTTAAAATTTATGAATGCGTCTGTGGGGTTGACCGCTGAATGTAATGGACTTGAGTCAAGGACGGGTTGCTTCATCAGTTGTGAATCGTGGGGAGGGGGGGGGGACGGTGTTTTCATCCATAAACAAGAGGGTTTGGCGGCTGGATTAACGAGCACTTGGCGCCTGTTGACGAGTCCGGGGTGGAGTGAGACTGGCAGCCCACAACGGGCTCACCATAGCCCGTGCTACTTGGAACTTTTTGTTCCAGTAGCGAATTTTAAACAACAACAACAACATGCTCCCCCGGGGACGTTCCTCCCGCGTCTGTGCATTGTCACACCGTAAGTCTGTTACGCAACAGTAACATCCTGTTACTAACGTCTCAAACACGTCAAAATAACAAGGTGTAATTGTATAGGATGAACAACCCAGCGGGTTTTCTTCCTATTGGGGAGTGTTGTACATGCTGCTATGGCGGTGTGTCCACTCACAAGATGAGTGACGCTGCCCAATAAACTCGCCCCTCGGGGCAAAATTTAAATTTAAAATTGTTATTCGCTGACGATCTTATGTATATACTGACGTTATTATTTTTTCTCCAACGTTGTGTAAGTTGAGGAACTTTGCCTTAAACCAGTGTGGCATGAGGCATAAACAAGCGAGTATATAGTTTAGTAGGTGTGAATATTTGCTCTTAATGGGTGATGTGACTATAGGACCTCCACCATGACTAAACCACTCGCCAGGAGGTGAGCAGGCCACCACGTTGCGCTCCCTCCTCGACCATCATCAACTCCATTGTCACGAGAGCGAGATTGATGATTGATGTTAAGTCACCCAAGAGGTAGTAGCACGGGCGTGAATAGCCCGTAAGGCAAGGGAACTATCAAGGGAAAGCGCCAAGCCATTAGGACTATATTATATATATATATATTATTATATAATATATATATTTAATATACTTAAAGGTTACAAGATGTACATTGGTTGATGCAAGGAGTGCTCAAAGGTTATGGATCTCTTGAAGCTCCTCCGCTTCCGGACAGGAACCGAAGCTATCCGCACCTGTCCCATCTCCCGTAAAGGTATTCCTTATTATGACTTTTACCCAGTTATTCATTTCCCCATTCTTGCCCGTTGTCAGGGTTGTTGGTCTTCTGTTACTGGTAACAAATTGCGTGCTCTTAAGAGTAGTGTGTTCCCGTGGCCTTCCTCCTACCACCGTAACCGGTGGTGGGAAACGGCTCTGGCGAGGTTGTATATTGGTCATACACGTTTAACTCACGGGCACTTAATGTAGCGCTGCCCTGCTTCTTATTGTCCAAACCGTTGTCTCTACATGTCCTGACTTCCAGGACTTACGTGTCTTGCTTCCCGACCATCCCTCACTGTCAATTGTCCCTCGATAAAATTCTTGGTAAATTCAATACCTTTGATATTGTTCGCCGTATGCGTTTTTGTTCTTGTATTGGCGACGTTAGTGATATTTAGCGCACTATGATTATCCCACACATTTGATGGTTTGATAATTACTGTACTGTACAGTACTTTGGTTTGGAATGTATGAAATAAAGTTGTTTCATGTATTCAAATGTGTGAGAAAATCCACTGGGGCTGTGAGATGAAGCGAACCTGTAACAAAGGCATTGCCAGTTGCATACTCTACCACCACTGATGGTAAAAGTCTTACAACTGGATATCTTGTGTGACGGGTTATGGTATCACAGCTATACTGAACCAAGATGGTATGGCTCTCCCTCACATAAATGAAAGAAATGCTGCTATTGGCCTTGCAGTGTGTAAGTTGCAGGTGGAAACAAATGAAAATTATCAAATAAATAATTAAACAATTTACTGAAATAGTAATGAACAAAAATAAAACATGACAATACTTGACTATCATGTAATGCAAAGGTGAACAAGTTAGTATGACCTTAAATGCAAAAAATAAACTATAAGCAATGAATAAAAGTATGAAGATATACTGTACTGGTGTTCTGAAGACAGCTACTATACCACCATGGCATCAGTCACATGATGTTGGCTGGAAGTGGACGACGGGTTAGAGACACCAAGGTGATCCTAGAGCACTAAGGGAGAGATTGCCTCTCCAGGGAGGCAGCGCTCTTTATATAGTCCGGCGGTGATGACTCATCCAGTGTCAACACGAGGTGGACATCTGGTCAACTAGCAAACTGCTCGTTGTGGCTGGCGGTGCCTTTGTGTTGAGCTGTACCACTGTCAGTTGAAGGCGGCTAACTGCTTGTTTGTGGGGACAAACTGCCAGTTAGCAGTGGCGCCCGGCTTGCCTCTGAGTCGTACCAGGCCGTGCCAGGCCCTGGGGGGTATGGAGAGGTGGCAGGACTGATGACTCTTCTGGGCTGGTGTAGATGTATACTTCCAGTGCAGAGGCATTGAAGGTGAAGGGAAAAGGCAGTTCCACTGCTATGCAGGGGATTCACGTGACACTTGTGAAGCCACAGAAAGTCTGGAGGCCCTACTGAAGCCAGTCCAAGTATTAAATAAAACCCCTGAAGTACACCGGTGAAGGGTAAAGTGAAGGGTGAAGCAAGACCGTATGCCCCAACTTCAGGCACACACAGAAAATCACGTTTTGGTCCCGCCTCTCAACTGTGTATTTGAAGTTGGGGCGTATGGTGTTGAACTGCTTCAGCCTTCACCTGAGTGCTTGTAGGTCTTACATAAGACGTTGACTCAAGGAGGGGCCTCAAAACTTGCTGTGATTTATGGGGAAATCCGGTTGTAAGACTTTTACAAAGTCAGTAATATACTGTGGTAGAGTATGCAGCTGCCAGTGCCTTGGGCAAGGGTTTACGTCGCCTCACAGCTCCAGTGGATTTTCTGCTTGGTGTATATCAGGTTGTGATTTTGTGTGTGTACCGTATTGTTATGATCGCCGTCTGATAAGTCCTTTCTGGCCTCAAGAGTCATTTTTACCCACCTAGAAAGATTGCAGATGGCCAAAGCAGTTATTTAAGTTAAGAAGGGACAAGTCTTAAACAGAATTTTGCATAATATTTGACTGTAAAGGGGTAAATTGAGGTAGATTGAAAAACAAAATGGTGAACCGGGCAGGCGGTACTCACAATTAGGCGAGTACACTCGGGAACTTTTAAAGTGCAACCAAACATGCTTTAGGCTCTCACAACAAGAGGTGAGTGGTGGTGGCTCAGGTGCTCAGCCAATCAGAGCACCTAAGGAGGGAGGGCAGGAGTGAGAGGGGGAAGGTATGTGGAAGTTTGGTGACAGTTGTGTGTAGTTTGTTCATCTTCATTGTAAGTTTCATGGCTTGGTGTGCATTTCCCTAGTAAATTTAATTAGGGAAAAATTCAGGTGTTTGATTGTTTAAATCAACTTTTTAAATGTTGAGTTGTTAAAGCCTCAAAGTGCATGGAGTTGGTTTGGGAGTATGGCATCCTCATGCTGTTGCGTGCTCGCGTGAGGTAGCAAAGGTGATGTAAAGTTGTGGGGTGTACATGCTTGGGACGTCCTCTCTCGGGATGGCTGGTGTTAGACCTGTGTGTTTGTCGGTTGTTGAAAAGCCGTCATCCTTTGCTGTTGTGGTATTGATTTGACATTGTTCATCTTGTAATTAATACTGTAGTGCGATATCTAGGGCTACCATTTGTAGGTTTAAAATGTCTAATACAAACAGTTGTCCAATGAGTTTTAATAGGAAATATCATCCACCAAGCGCCATTGTACAATTCTATTAATTGATAGTATATGGATTGTGCAGAACTGCTTAGAATGATCTTTAACACTTGGCTATATTGGTCATGCCAAATACCTGCACGGTGAATGCTCAAAGACCCTTTCTTTATTCAGTGTTGTCACATACCTCATGGGGGTATGGATAGGCAAACACTCATTCGGTTAAACTTGCCT